CTGTCTGCCCCCCTGCCGCATGTTCATATCTATCCACGTGGGCCCCACAGGTGTAAGGGGACTTCCCAGCTACCCACCCCACCACCACCAATGCGCAAATGCAGTGAACCACAGTGATGGCCATAATAATGCAACCAAGAAAATCAAGCAAAGCATATGCCTTGAATCAAATAAACAAAGCATCCCCGCAACAAAATCATGCAGAATTCATGTGCTGCAAGCAAGCAGAGCCGGAACCCTAAACTGATTTTATTCATGATGATATAGCAGAAAAAAATGCACCTTGATTCTCCTCCCGTTGATAATTTGAAAGATGGATTAAACAAACAACAAATCATGCGATTAGTTTAGTTGAATGCGATGGATGATTAAATAGACGCACCAACCAACCAAAGCAGGCCGCGCAACAGAACAAGATCTGCCAGCCAGGTCACAAGAATAGACAACAACAGAATCAATCAACTTATATTAATATTGTATACATACACCCATGATGACCTAGAAAAACCACACAAGAAAATCGAATTAATTTGAAGGGCTGGAGAAGCAAAACGGAGAATGTGCATGCAAACAAGCTAGGGCTGCGCCATCATCTGGCCCCCACACGTCACACTGCCTGCCGTGCATGGGCCAGTGTACTGAGACACTTGAGCTACTGCTAAGAATACTACTGGTACAGCACCACTAATAATAAATACAATGTCTCTGTACTATAGCTGATATACAGATGAACAGTGAGTGAGGAGTGAGCATCCATGGCAGCACCAGCACCAGCATGGCACAATTGTAACTGCCAATCAGTCCAATCCTGTCTTAGTCTCGCCAGGATCTTGGTGTATCGTCATGTTCTGCCATTACGCTAGCTAGGCACATACTAGGACCGGCTAAAGAATGTGTAGCGCATATAATTAGGTCACTTGGGTTAGTGCCTAGTGGAACGAACCTTGGATGGAATGGAAGGAAAACTAGAGTATATATGATTAGGTTGGGTAGATTCTTATGGTGAAAGGTACAGGACAATAGTCCTTGAAGCTGATGCCAATGCATGCCCAGCTCACCACTGACTGGTACTAGTACCACTACCATGCAATGCATAAATACGTACAAACATGTGCCATGTCTTATGTGTGTAGTCGTAGATGGATGCTCACCATTGTACCCACCTTGGATGCCCATCTCGTCCCAATTTGAAACAGTGATTGCTTATCGACCTCCATTCTAAACAGTGCATTCTCTTCTTTTTACGTGGAAGTGGAACAAGCACAAGAGGACTTGGATGAGCAGTGATTCTTGCTAGACAGACAGGCCACACAAGAAGGAAGCTGTCCTGCTGCAAAGATCGACCACTCTGCTACTGCTACTAGAGGTGATTGTACCATCATCATACGAACAAAGGGTAGCTCTTGTGCTGCAATCATCATTGCCTTGTTGCTTGATCCTGTGTTGTTGGTTCACATGCCTTGGTTGCAAGGAAGAGGTTGGTTGGTTGCTTATTCAGCAGTTGGGTTCGGCACGCATAAGCCCAGTTTCTGAATCTGCACGCATCTTCCATTCATTCATTCATTCAGAGTTGGCCTGGTTGTGGTCCGACTGGACTGCAGCACCTTCCGATATCATGCCACTGACACGGCTTAGCCTCCAAATCTTGTCTTGTCTAAGACGACCATGTGTCATGTTCCTCATCCCGCGTGGAGAATCATGAAATTGGCTTCAACAGTCCACTTCAGGTGTAGCTGCAGCTGAACCACATCTAAACTCACAGATTTCATGGGTTCATGGATGGGAAACATTACCACAAGGGTTGGGTTCAAATCAATTCACAACATCACCACTCTTCTAAGCTCGACAGCCAACAGCTTATGCCATCGCTGATTACACAACCCTATCGAGCAATTACAACTACTACATATATAGGAGAACGGGAAACAACTGGATATCTTGCCATACATGTTTTTTCCAACTGATAAATCTACGTTTAGTCCTAGAGCATTCAAAGGGTTAGAAGATATCTCCCGGACCGTTCCTTTTCCTATACAAGCACAAGCACAAGCGCACGCGCATATACATCCGCGTTATCCACCACAGCAGCAGCAGCACTTGAAGCAGCTGCAGCAGGCTGGGCACTTGAATGCACCAAATGCAAAGCATTTCCTCAGTGCATCGCAGCAGCTGCAGCTGAGATTGCAGCTCGGTCTGCGAACTCGAATACGGCAGCAACAGTTGGTGGTGAAGGTGGTAGTTGTTGCCGTGTTCGCGCGGTATGCCGTCTTTGTCGGCTCGAGGGACTGCCGAATCTTCTTCAGCCTCATTTTCGTTGTCACGCTCTCCATTTCGCGGATGAACTTGGAGAGGTGGCGGATGAAGTCAGGGTACAGCTCCAGGTTGCAGTGACCACCTCCTTTGATCCATAGTGGATCATACGGTTCCCTTGCCAGTTTCCACAACTCATTACCATGTGACCAATTCACAACATCGTCGTCGGTCCCCTGCAAACGCCAATACGTGTATAATTAACAACAACACTTCTACACACCATCAAGTTGGTGCATACGAAAAACTTTGAGAAAGAAAGAGTACACATAATAAATCAATCCATTACATAAATGGTTACTCGAAAACAGAAAATTACTTCAGAGAACTATGACTGCATCAACTATGGGAGCCATTCATGCTTTCTTCATCGGCCTTGACTAAGGAAATGTAGTATTGGCATGTGGGCTGTGGCCCATGAAAATGCTACCCACCTTGACCACATCAAGCAACACAAGGCACTCTAATTACGAAGCTGTTTATCTATATACATCGCAAACAAAGAGAACTACAAGAGGAAAGTTTTCAAGAATATGATGTTTCAGTTTGAGATGCTAACTTTTTTTCTGAATCGGATGTGTATAGACACGTTTGTTTCAGCTTTGATTGGATTCGAATCACCTATGGACTCGCTTTACTAGCAAAGCTGATTCTGCGGCCCTGTTTGTTTGACTTTGATTGGATCCGAATCACATGTGGATTTGCTTCACTGGCAAAGCTGATTCGCAGAATCAGCTTCGCCACTTTAGTATACTTCAGGCAATTGCACTGAAAATGGCCTGAATCCAGATTTAGCTTCACTAGCAAAGCTGATTCAAAACAGCTGTTTGTTTTAGCTTCTAGATTCAGCTTTACTAGCTTCTAGATTCAGCTTTACTGGCAAAGATGAATCTGGCCCCTGAATCTCAAACGAAAGAGTTGTGTATTTCAGATTCCAGATTCAGCTTCACTGGCAAAGCTGAATATGATCCCTGAAGCTCAAACAAACAGGGCTTAACACTCATTTCAGTCCGTGTGTAGTCCATATTGAAATATCCAAAACATCCTATATTTGTCAATGGAGGGAGTATTATTTACACACAAGGGAAAAGTTTGAAAGTAGCAGCTAAGTTATCCTCACTGATCTCTCAATTAAGAGTCTTCAGGCACTCATTTCAGTCCGTATGTAGTCCATATTGAAATATCCAAAACATCCGATATTTGTCAATGGAGGGAGTATTATTTACACAAAAGGGAAAAGTTTGAAAGTAGCAGCTAAGTTATCCTCACTGATCTCTCAATTAAGAGTCTTCGGGCACAGCTAAAGATACTACAGCAGCAAGGTTCAAAATATTTAGTAGTAATAACAAGCTGTCCCAGCTGGGAACAGGAATATAGGATGTGAAACCATCTCAGTAAGAGCTATGGACAACACATGCTGATACCACCGGCATTGTAGGAGCAATGAAATTAGTCGACTTGTAAAGTTGTAGTGATCAAATTATGACTGACAGGCTAAGTGATAGTAAAAGAGCGGAAACTGGGCAGTTACCAGTAAAGTGGTGTTGTTCCAGAACTATGGCATTTCTAGTTTTTATTTCCCGAACATGCATTTGATCCGAAACTATGGTATTTCTCTTTTTTTCCTGAACAAGCATTGTTGTGTATTAGAAGAAAACAACCAAAGAAGGTGCAGCAGTACATGCTCCCTCCGTCCCATAATATAAGATGTTATTACAACCGATATGTGTATATCGGTTATTACTACAACCGATATGTGTATATCGGTTGTAATAACATCTTATATTATGGGACGGAGGGAGTGTGTATATCGGTTGTAATAACATCTTGTATTATAGGGAGGGAGTACCACAAAAGGTGGCCTCCGACCAAAAACCAAAACCAAAACAGGAAAAAGAAAAAGAAACCTGAAGAAGATAAGCGTAGGAAACAGAAATCACGAAGCCTGATCATGTGACTACACTACACATTTTGTTGGGCTCGGCCAAAGAGCAGAATAATGGAAGTCAAGCCATGCATCCTATAGAAAACTGCGTTGGTGATGATGGTGTGTCAGCCATTGGATCCAACATGCAGGCTCGGGATGAAGACAAGCACAGTTGGTCCGATCTAGAGCCAGCAGTAGAGATGTGCGTGCATAGGGACATGACCTTGCCACCGTATGTAGCAGATATTTACCCACCTCTGCCACTGCTTAAAATGCGGAGGTCCTCGTCCAGATCCCACTGCCACACCATCCCACAGTTGCCGGATTTGCGTGCGCCCTCGCTGCCATCTGCTCTCCACCACGCCATGGGAAGTGGATCCTCTGACGTACTGCCCCCTGACGTGGAGCCACTGACGTGCGGGCCCGGGTCCACATGCCAGTATGTCAACGGCACGTCAGGGGAGCCGCGTCCCACGCCATGTCCTCAATCGCACTAGCTCTCCCTTACAGCGTTGCAGTCACATGTCTGTTGCCGTGGAAGGCGACCCGCTCCCAATCGCAGCAGCACAACGACCTGGAACCCACTCCTCCAACCGCCTCTGCTTCTTTAGCATGCTCTAATGCAGGCCTCTGTTCCTCCCCAAACAGCCATTAAGACACGGTCAATGTCACAATGTGGGCCACTAATTTGGTTGGTTTGTGCGGGTGAAATCGGTGGTTAGGTGTCAAGCTGCACCGAAATGGATGCCGGTGTAGTATAATGTGGTTGCACCACGAGACCCTCTCGGTCAAGAGGTGGTATGTAGCCTAGCTGTGTAAGACAATAAGTTTTGGGGAACCAGCACAACCTCTGCTTCTTTAGCATGCTCTAATGCAGGCCTCTGTTCCTCCCCAAACAGCCATTAAGACACGGTCAATGTCACAATGTGGGCCACTAATTTGGTTGGTTTGTGCGGGTGAAATCGGTGGTTAGGTGTCAAGCTGCACCGAAATGGATGCCGGTGTAGTATAATGTGGTTGCACCACGAGACCCTCTCGGTCAAGAGGTGGTATGTAGCCTAGCCGTGTAAGACAATAAGTTTTGGGGAACCAGCACAACCCTCTAGGGGTGGCTTATCTCATTATATATAATGGTTGTGTTACAATATGTACCATATACGTACATGGGTACAGAAGCTATACATAGTCTAACACCCTCCCTCAATCTTAGCCACTTTCTAAAGAACTGAGAAGGGTAAGATTGCGCCTACAAGCCTCAAACTGTGGCAGCGGTAAAGGCTTAGTGAAGATGTCTGCAAATTGATCCTTAGATGAGATAAACTTGATCTGGAGTTGCTTCTGTGATACACGTTCCCGTACAAAGTGATAGTCAACTTCAATGTGTTTCATTCGGGCATGAAATACTGGATTTGCAGAAAGGTATGTAGCACCGATGTTATCACACCAAAGAATAGGAGGCTGTGGTTGAGACAAACCCAACTCCTGAAGCAAAGACTGCACCCAAATAATCTCTGCAGTAGCATTAGCCACAGCCTTGTACTCAGCTTCAGTACTGCTACGTGACACAGTAGCCTGTTTCCGAGCACTCCAGGCGATCAAATTAGAGCCAAAGAATACTGCATAACCCCCCGTGGATCGCCTGTCATCTGGGCTACCAGCCCAATCTGCATCAGAGAAGGCCGAAAGGACCCGAGAGGAAGTCGGCCGAATATGCATACCAAATGTCAGGGTGAACTGAACATAACGAAGAATGCGTTTAACAGCAGCCCAATGAGTATCTCTGGGAGCCTGAAGATACTGACAAACCCTGTTAACAGCATAAGAGATATCTGGTCTCGTGATGGTCAAGTACTGAAGTCCACCAACAATGCTCCTGTACTCTGTGGCATCCGCAGGAGACAAAAGCTCACCATCAACAGCTGTTATCTTGTCGGTAGACGACATGGGTGTGGTGGTCGGTTTGCACTTCAGCATGCCAGCTCTCTGTAACAACTCCAAGGAGTACTTCTTCTGCGTAAGGACAAGACCAGTAGCACGAGAAGTGACCTCAACTCCAAGAAAGTAGTGAAGCTTCCCAAGATCTTTAACCGCAAAATCAGCACCAAGAGAGCAGACAAGAGCATCAGCAGCATACTGAGAAGAGCTGACAAGGATAATATCATCGACATATACCAAAAGATACATAGTGACTTCTGGCTTCTGTAGAAGAAATAACGAAGTGTCAGCAGTAGACGACACAAACCCATGAGCACGAAGGGCAGAGGCAAGGCGGGCATGCCAGGCACGAGGAGCTTGCTTCAAACCATATAGTGCTTTGGAAAGACGACAGATATAGTCAGGACGATCAGGATCAGAGAAACCAGGCGGCTGTTTCATATAAACCTCTTCCTCCAAAAATCCATGTAGAAAAGCATTCTGCACATCAAGTTGACGAAGTGACCAACACGAGAAACAGCAATGGAGAGAAGAAGCCGAATAGTGGTAGGCTTGACGACAGGACTGAAGGTGTCCTCATAGTCAAGACCATGACGCTGCCGAAAACCGCGAGCAACAAGTCGCGCTTTGTAACGCTCAATAGATCCATCCGAATGCTTCTTCACTTTGAATACCCATTTTGAGTCAATAACATTTACCCGTGGTGGTGGAGGAACGAGAGTCCATGTCTTGTTACGAAGAAGAGCATGAAACTCCTGCTCCATAGCCTCTCGCCAATGTGGAATGCGCAGGGCAGCCTGATATGAGCGAGGCTCAAAAGATGGATCCGCAACAGCAGCAGCCAAACAAGCAGCCAACCAAGCAACCGTACCATCCTTACGTTCCTTAGGTTTGAAAATGCCACTGCGACTGCGTGTATGTGGTCGGGACACAGGAACCACCGAGGTCGACGGAGCAGCCTGCAACGGGCTGGAGGACGGCAACGTTGACGAGTCAGCCAGTGACGAGGAGCCAGTCACGATAGCCTCGGACTCGGTTGGCGAAGAAGGCCGACCCACCGGCGAAACCGGCAGAGCAGACGAAGCAGCTGGCGACTCCGGCATCACAGACCGGGCCGATGGCGAGCTCGGCATAGTGGGCCGTGGCGCGGCCGGTGTCGCGGGCCGATCCGCTGATGAAGGCGACGTGAGGACCCGAGCCGCGGGCGAAGACGGCGTGACGGGCCGAGCCGCAGGCGAAGACGGCGTGACGGGCCGAGCCGCAGGCGACTCGGCGGCCGCTGGCGAAACGGACCGAGCAGTGGAGATGCTCGGCGCGACGGGCTCGTCGGGTGACCATGCATGGGCACGCGAATCAATGCCATGCAACATAGGGCGATCGACGTGCCCACCAGAAGACGACGATGATGATGGTGAATCCTCCAACAGCTCCAAACGAGCTCCACGTCCGGTTCCTGCACCATGGTTAGGTAACAGCAAAGGAGAGTATGCAACATCATCAAATTGGTCAGAAGCAACAGAGGATGAAGACATTTGTACGACGTCCCGAGATGGTGGTTCGACAGTGGACACAGGAAGGTTGGCAAAGGGAAAAACATGCTCATCAAACACGACGTCCCGAGATATATAGACACGATTAGTGGGAACATGAAGACATTTGTAACCTTTATGAAGAGAGCTATAGCCAAGAAAAACACACTTCTTAGAACGAAACTCAAGCTTGCGCTTGTTATATGGACGAAGATGCGGCCAGCAAGCACACCCAAATACCTTGAGAAAGGTATAATCAGGTTGTTCATTAAGGAGAACCTCAATGGGAGTCTTCATGTTTAAAACACGAGTAGGAGTACGGTTGATGAGAAAGCATGCAATGGTGAAAGCATCACTCCAAAACCGAAACGGAACAGATGCATAGGCCAAAAGAGTAAGACCAGCTTCAACAATATGACGATGCTTACGTTCGACTGAACCATTCTGCTGATGTGTATGTGGACATGCTAAACGATGAGCTATCCCAAGCGACTGAAAGAAAGAGTTGAGGTTGCGATACTCGCCCCCCCCCCCCAGTCTGACTGGACATGAACAATTTTGTGCTTGAGAAGACGTTCAACATGTTTTTGAAACTGAACAAAAATATCAAACACATCAGATTTACGTTTAATAAGGTAAAGCCAGGTAAAGCGACTATAAGCATCAACGAAACTGATATAGTAATTATGACCACTGACAGAAGTCTGAGCAGGACCCCATACATCTGAAAACACAAGTTCTAAAGGATGTTTCACCTCACGACTGGACTCCGAAAAAGGAAGTTGATGACTCTTCCCCTGCTGACAAGCATCACACACTGCTACATCTTTATGACTAGACAAACTAGGAAGCTTATGACGACGCAAAATATGACGGACAATAGGTGTGGCCGGGTGACCAAGACGAGCATGCCACTGTGACGAAGAGACCCGAACTCCACTGAAAACACGAGCGACACCAGGATGCTCCAGACGGTAGAGGCCCTAGCACAACCGCCCACTAAGAAGAATGTCCCTCGTGCCCCGATCCTTAATAAAAAGATCAAAAGGGTGAAATTCACAAAGCACATTATTATCACGTGTGAGTTTAGAAACTGAAAGAAGATTACGGGTCACAGATGGAACTCGAAGAACATTGCGAAGCTGAAGACTCCTATTGGCATGTCTAGTGAGAAGAGATGCTTGACCAATATGAGAGATGTGCATACCTGCTCCATTGGCGGTGTGGATCTTGTCGGAGCCATGATAGGGTTCACGAGTGTGAAGCTTCCCCATCTCGCTGGTTAGATGCTCTGTCGCCCCAGAGTCCATGTACCAGTGTGGATCGATGGAGTAGGACTGAGTGTGTCCCTGTTGCTTCTGCGGCGCGGGACGATCAGCCATGGCGACCTGACGGGCATTGTTGCGTGTATCTTTGCCGTCATTGCCAAGACCAAGGAAGCTTCGCTGGAAGCGCTTATGACACTTGGAGGCCCAGTGCCCATCACGGCCACAAAGCTGACACACACGTGGACCGCCAGCCCCCGATAAGGTCGCAGTAGGTGGGGGGGCCGAGGCGGGCGACGGTGGCAGCCCCAAGGGAGACCGGGGTGATGAAGAAGAGCGGCCACCCTTGGTGGCGGCGTTGGCCGAGAGGGAGCCAGTGCCCCTGGTGCGGCGAGTCTCGACCCGTTGCTCAGTGAGAAGGAGCCGAGAGAAAACCTCGTGTGCCAGCATGGGTGTCGAGTTGCCCCGCTCGTTGATGATCTCGACTAAGGCATCATACTCCTCATCAAGACCATTAACAATAAACGAGTTGAACTCGGAGTCGGTGAGGGGCTGTCCAATGGAGGCCAATGTGTCGGCGAGGCCCTTGACCTTGTTGTAGAACTCAGTGGCAGTAGAGTCAAGCTTCTGACACTCTCCAAGCTGACGACGGAGTGCAGAGACACGAGCCTGGGACTGCGCTGCAAAGGTGCGCTCAAGGATGGTCCAGGCCTCATGAGACGTCTTCGCGAAGACAACAAGGCCGGCAACTGCCGGCGAGAGCGACCCCTGGATGGAGGAGAGGTTCGCCTGGTCCTGCCCCGTCCAGACGCGATGGGCCGGATTGTAGACCGGACCGTGCACGCTGTCTACCAGCGCGGGTGGGCAGGGAAGCGATCCGTCGACGTAGCCTAGCAGGTAGTGACTCCCCAAGAGCGGGAGAACCTGCGCACGCCAGAAGATGTAGTTGTCGGCGGAGAGCTTGATGGTGATGAGATGACCGAAGTGAAACGGCGGCGGCGAAGACAATCCCATCGAGGAGGCTGTCTGGGGTGCAAACACCATGGAGGCAGCCGGAGGCACCGAAGCCGATGCAGGAGGAGGCGGGACCGCAGCCAGGGCGGGCGCCGCAAAGCTCGCGGCCGGTGCGGACGCCGCAAGGCCCGCGACCGGGGCGGACGCCGCCAACCCCGCCAGCGGGGCAGTGTGATCCGCTTGCGGCAGGAGCGGCGGGACGACGCCTGCGGAGTCCGCAGCAGAAGGCGGCGCCGCGGTGTGGACCACGAGGTCACGCCCAAGCGAGGGCGCCGGCGGCGTGGAGAAGACGGAGCCGATGCTCCTTGTCCCGATCGGAGCCGGAACAGAGACGGCATCGAGCGGGAGGTTGAGCAGAGCCGCAAGAGAGGCCGGAAGGAAGCCCGCAGCAGTGGAACCGGTGGTGGCGGCGCTCGACATGGCGGCGGCGCGATCGGTGACGCGGCGGCGGCGGTGAAGGCGGCGGCGGCTGCGGCGGCGGTGCGGGTATTAGGGTTTAGAAGCGGAAGCGATCGTAACCTAGCGTGATACCATGTAAGACAATAAGTTTTGGGGAACCAGCACAACCCTCTAGGGGTGGCTTATCTCATTATATATAATGGTTGTGTTACAATATGTACCATATACGTACATAGATACAGAAGCTATACATAGTCTAACAAGCCGTGGGCGAGATAGCTGTAGGGCAGAGCACACCAGATCGGGTAATCTCCTGAATGTAACTAGGGCTGCAGTCTAGCTTGATTCGATGTGTTTGATTCCAGTAAGCCTCCTATGGAAATATTTTTTGTTCCTTCTTGGAAAGCATCATTTTCCCTTTATGTGGCAAAATGCTGAAATAAATCGGTTCATTAAGCTCTGGAAAAACAAAGAGAAATGTTTCCACACCTGAAAACTGTACACTATGGATGTTCATATTCTTCAATTGCAATTTAGCTAAAACTCATACTCTGGTTAGCGATGCTCCGGTGATATACACATGTTGTCAAATGGTCCAAGTTTCAGTTCATTAAATGTATTGATATATGCTCTGACATGTTTAATATAGAGCAGCTGGGTTTTATACCGACAGAACTGCGAGATAAATTTAATGGAAAATGGCTCACTTGTCTTATTGCATAATAAACACATGACCAAGCTTATGGAGAATTCATTTTAGAAACATCTGACTGAAACTTGGAGAGCATCTAGTGCCCTCATGTTCCCTTCTCTGTTCTTTTATATCGACTGGTTCCTTCATAATTCAGTTCCAATTGCTAAAGGTGGCTGCAAGTTGCACTTGTTGTTTCCTCATTTTCTGACCTTTAGGTCCAGTGACCCGAGAGTAAATCAGGTGTTATGAAATGAAATAATTGGTGTGATACCCAAATGAAAATAGTCTGCTTCTTGTTTATTGACTCTGCGCAAGCATTTGAAGTTGAACCAGATGGGTTGTGGTGTACTCTAGATGACTATGTTACTGAGATCAGGGTACTAAACAGCATGGCCAAATGCCGGTGACAATGTGTTCCTCACCACTTGTATACTAGCAGAAGATTAAGATGAGCTAAGAAAATAACACTGATAGGCAAGACAAGAATGGGTCTGACTTGATGTCGCCATAGAAGAGGCATGTGTGTACTTTCCATTAGATGTGTCTATAAGATAGGTATACTTTTTAGTGTTGTTTGGCTACTTGCAAAACTGTTTTAGCCTGTGGCTACAACATGTAAAGGTCCTTATTTGGGTCTCATCCTAAAAATGGGAGCTGGGAATTTCCTTGTGAGCCTAATTTTTAAAATGATTCTTAGAAGGATTGTTTCTTTAGTGATCTTCCTATGCAATTTAGCAAATTTTAACATGAAATAATTTTGTCGTAAACACACTTAATTTATGCATGATATACATGATATTTGGTTCTTCTGGATAACCATGACGCAGACAAAGGAGATTAGAAAGTAAGCGTTCATTTTTTTTTTCTTTCCTGATTGGATTAGTTTTATAATACTCGCTTTTAAGAGGATTATTAATGTGTACCAGAACAAGGGAACTAAATCTGAAGTGAAACAGAACATATTTTAAATGAAAAAAAAGTGTAACATAGGATGTTAGAACATAGGATGTTAGAAGGTAAAAACTACTCCCTCCGTCCGAAAATACTCGTCTAAGAAATGGATGTATCTAGATGTATTATAGTTGTAGATACATCCATTTTTATCCATTTCCGTGACAAGTAATTCCGGACGGAGGGAGTATATTATAATGTTTTCCTGTGGGTACAAGTTGATTTTATCCTAGATCCATTAAAATGCATGGGCACTTTGCTAGTTTTGTTAGTAAAGACACTTACATGAATAACAAGCACTGGGCATTTCACCTTCTTTATTTTTTTGACATTCTGCAAGAACAAGTTAGCTGGACGTTAGTAAAAGCTACTCTAAAGGCACAAAAGGTACAGACCAAAATGGAATAATCAATTTGAGATGCTTACTTTGTAAATGTCGAAGCAAAAAGTAAAGTTCACATGGCAAACAACACGGAGGCCTGACAGTATAGCACTGTGAAGAACCACACCACGCAATCTTGGTAAACGAGATGCTAAATGCAATGTGGGCCCACTGCCAACAGATTGCCCATACAGGATAAGCTCTTCCTGGCTGATTCCATACTCGGTTTCTAAGCACTGGTAAACTGCTTCAATATCTGCATATGTATTCTCTTCACTTGGCTGCACTTGAAAAGACAAGCATAAAAATCCTTCCACAAAAACGCATTTTCTTGGGGGAGAAATATGGACATGCGCATGCTCAGTGGAAATGCCAATTAGGTGACAGTAATTCAAAGTGAAAGTGCCATATGATTTAGCTCAAATAAGCAAATACAGGATACAAAGACATTAATATCTACTCCCTCCGTCTGAAAATACTTGTCATCAAAATGGATAAAAAGAGATGTATCTAGAACTAAAATACGTCTAGATGCATCCCCTTTTATCCATTTTGATGACAAGTATTTCCGGACGGAGGGAGTAACTCCCAGTAGGGCAAAACATAAATTTCAAATACCACCACCCGTAGCATTTTGTTTGTTCCTTTATCTTGATGATAGTGGAACCTGGTCCATGTTGGATAGTATGGAACAAAAAAAAAGGAAAATTCTCACTTCATTTGAATGCAGGGCCCCCAAAATAGACAGCAGAAACAATCAACATAACATGTTCTACATTTCAATGGATAAAGCCGCAAATAAATGAAGTTGAGAAAGTGCATAGATAGTTGATACAGACATTTATATCTGTCCTTTAGGATAAATGTATAAAAGGCATGCCCAAATTACTGTTTAGCCTGAAGTTTACAATGGCATGCGTGGCTGAGGATAGAAGTTGCAGACATATAAAAGGTTTATAATGGCCATGATATATAAAAGGTTTATAATGGCCATGATATGACTGGAAGGCACCAGTCGGGGGCATGGGCCAAACCTTCGTCAGTTGAGTTGTAGACAAATGCAGCTTGTTCTTGGAAACTGAAACTGAACCACATTTCTCGAGGTATCTTAATTAATTCAGGTTGTTGGTAGTAGTACTATCATCCCATGCCTACATTAGGGCATGCTTGAATCCAAGGGACTAGTTTTCGTCTGACTAAAACTAGTCTCTTTTAGGGGCTAAAGTTCCAATCACCCCTGACTAAAGAGAGGCTAGAACTAGTCTTGAGACTAAAAATTTTTAGTCAGGGGAACCCTACTAAAATGTGGATTAGTCCTCTCTCTCCTCATTTAACTCCCCTCCTTTAACACATGCGAGTTCTGGATTGGAGGGTTTGGAGGATAATAAATGCTCATTAACTCGATTTTAGTCTATTTAGTATTTGTATCCAAGCATGGGTGAGGCTAGCAAGTTTTAGTCCCACTACTTTTAGTCATGGGACTAAAACGTATCCAAGCACCCTTGTTAGGAACCCAGTAGTATATCTCTCGATCTATTACACTGGCTCACGAATTCGAGTCTCAAGTAGCGATTATAGTAGCTGGTACAAGAACTGGAAGAAGGGGATCGAGGGATAGAGAGGAACAGGTGCCGCCGCCGTTGCCGTGATCCACTGGATGCCGTGCTAGTTGCCTGCTTCCGAGTACTTGTAGGCTGTTGCCGCATAGACGGGCCCGGCCCATGAGCTATCAAAGGGGAAAGCCCAGGTATGAGTATGGGCCAGGGGAGGTCCCTAACATCCCTCCCTTCTTGAAATGCGGCTTGCCCCCAAGCCGCTATCACGAAGATTTTGCCAGGATCCCATGGTGCTTGGAGATCCTTAATCATGCCGGAATCCCCATGGTAGTTGTCGCGGTAGCAGCCATGGTCGAGATGGACTTGAACAAGCTCGGAGAAGTTGTCGGGCTTGAGGTAGTAGTAGTCGTGGCCGACAGAGACCCGATTGAAGTTGGTGTTGTGGTTGATGACCTTGGAGGGAAATGCGACGGAGAAGTAGCCATCACAGTCGAAGCCGATGTAGTGCCTGTAGCCGAAGCAGCCTTGCGTGAATACGTCGGCAAATGCAATGACACCCCTCCCTTCTTGAAAATGATCCTGATTGTAGCATGTAGAGGATGCCATACAGCTCATGTCCTGTGGTCTCTTGCTGAGTATTTCGTCGGCAGGGTAGTTGACCGAAAGAACAACCGGAGCCTTGGTAAGATCAAAGGAGCAATCACAGAATAAAGAGTACCATCCTGGATCTCCCCCACTTGCAGCATGTATGTGTTCATGCTTGCATGCGTCTGCATCAAGTTCAGAAAATGACAAATGTTGCTCCCCCAACCAAAAACCAATGGATGTATGAACAAACCCAGGAGCAGCTGAACTATTACACCCCAGCACTCGCAGTCTATACAGGTTTGGAGATGTGAGAAAGGCCATATTGACATTGCAGCGAGACTGCCAACTCCTCTGACCAAGTATCTTCTCGTTAGTTCCAGCAGCAAAAGGCCATAACTTCACACATTCATTAAAGTAGCGTTGATGACTGGAGTTCCCAGAGGTCTTGACTGCACTTGAATTCCTAAATGCTGCCATTTTTCCAACAAGGAACTTTGTATATGGAAATAAATGCCAGTTAAACAGCAACAACAGCAGTGTCGTACTAGTGCTCATGTATACATGATGTACTCCAAATTCAGAATCTTTCTGTGAGTGCCCTATGCAGCAAGGATAAAATTGTATGCCCTTGTAGTTCACTAGCTCCCAGTGAATTGCTTCTGGCCCAAAACAGCTAAGATAACTTGCATGTGTAGAAAGTTTTCCGAGATACAATGTTTCCTGCACCACCATTTGGCTGCAACATTTTTGACTTAAGTGTTTAAATTCAGATGTTGCCTGATCCAGTATACGCCAAGACTGCCACTGTGTACCATATTGTTCAGAACTGCATTCTAGAGCAAAACAACCACTGAGATTGTACCACCGTTGCCATGTATTGTACACACAAGCTCCAATATGAAATAGTTTCTTTGGATTAGATCTGCTAGTCAAGCCAATGCCACACACTTGGACAGACAAAAACCGATGTGCCCTGAATGTCCAGGTATGAAGGTCATGAACAGAAGCAATCACCGAGAAGTTCCAATGGACAACACTAGAACAGCAGACTTTTGATGGCAAACCGATTGCAAACGGCGGCCATGGAATGGGTCGGGTTTCCATTCCCTCTGCAATAAGAGCTGCCCAATATGATGGCCTCGGCTGTAGCAGCAGCCCCTGGTGCCTTGTACGCGGCGAAACGTCCAAATCATGGCTCAGGAATGGCTGCTTTGAATCGACAGCTGAGAATATCAGAGATAGAGTGGTGAGGAGCTCGTCCTCCATGGCCACAATATGAACGACAAGCCTCCAGGGTAGCATAGGCTTCCTCATCGACTCATGGCTAGAGAAGACTATACAGGACACATGAATAGTAGGAGCAAATGACTGTACAAAAGAGATCACTGACCACCACTCCACAACGCCCCAATTCACCTCACCCAGTGATTGGATTATCTGCTGATTCCGAAGGGGAATTGCTTTTGGCAGCATAGGGGTCCAACCAGCAAGCTTCTCATAGGGACAAGATTTCAGTCGCACACTTGGTAGATACCTCCAGTATTCTCTCAAAAAATTCAAAGCAACCGGCAAACGCTGCACCACATAAGTAACTTGCAACAACAGCCCTTCATAATTCAGAGTCGTGCCTTCAAGAGAACCAGCAAACGACGGCCACGGCACGGGCCGTACATCATTGCCGTCAGCAAAATGCATCTGAAATGATGGCCACGGAGTCGGTCGTATCAGCAGCCCCTCGTGCCTTGTGGGAAACGGGACGTCCCTGTCCTGGTTCAGAAACGACTGCGTTGAATCTACAACTGAGAACGACAGAGGAGATGGACTGGTCAGGAGCTCGTCTTCCATGTCCAGGGGCACCCGCCGGTTAGAACCATCGTTGGTAGCAGGGTGAATGAGGTCGGCGACGAGCACAAGTGTGGCTGCTGGGGGTAGCGACGTCGTCATGACTGGAGACAAGAATGACATGGCACTGAATTTTTTCGAGCATTCTGTCGAACAGGTCATGAGCGTCGCAGCGATGTAATCAGAAGACACATGATGGAGGATCTCCTCAGCCTGTCCAGTTGACGAGGAAACGTCGGGAAGGACAGCAGGCTCGGTGGAGACTTCTGGAGAGGACGCCACCAGTGGAGGTGCGGGAGTAGTGAACTTGCCGCCGATGTTGATGCTAACAGCCTGAATTGCTGTTGCCACCACCTGGTTCTCCTCCTGAATTTCCACTCCGTTCGTTCGAAGGGTGGCTATGGCGTTGTTGGTGCCGATCGCGGGATTGGGGTCGAATGCGGTGGCGGTGCGGTGGACCTCCTCGGCGATGGTGGGTGGAGCAGCCGTGGTTGCGCGGTCGGTGTGAGACGCGACCAGGGCAGAGGTTGAGGTAGCCGAAGCAGTAGCAGGGGAGGCAACCGGATTGACACGCGAGGTGGCCTCTGCGGGATCGCCCGCGCCCACGCGTGCAGCCGCGAGCTCGGACTTGATACTATCCATCTGTGCCGATAGATGCTTGAGAAACCACAACATCTGCTCATCTGCGGTCATGGCATCCCACTCTGATGGATAGACGAGGGAACGAGGAGCCTTCTCCGGATCGGACATGGTGCTGTCGCCGGTTGAAATTGGGGAATCGAGGGAGGTGGTGGTGGGTGAAATTTACTGGCTCTGAATACCAGATGTTAGGAACCCAGTAGTATATCTCTCGATCTATTACACTGGCTCACGAATTCGAGTCTCAAGTAGCGATTACAGTAGCTGGTACAAGAACTGGAAGAAGGGGATCGAGGGATAGAGAGGAACAGGTGCCGCCGCCGCTGTTGCCGTGATCCACTGGATGCCGTGCTCGTTGCCTGCTTCCGAGTACTTGTAGGCTGTTGCCGAGTGGTGAGGATAGACGGGCCCGGCCCATGAGCTATCAAAGGGGAAAGCCCAGGTATGAGTATGGGCCAGGGGAGGTCCCTAACAACCCTCTTAGTCAAATAAGACTAGTCACAATGGGTAGTACTAGTCTATGTTACTACCTCTATAGTGGGGAGTAACATATGTGTGGTGTCATGCAACACTTCATTTATTAGATTGTAGACTCATCTTGTCTTGGTATGTGTGATGTTACATTAACTAGCTATGTTACCGTATACTCCTCTTTCCTCATTAATTACTCGCCACATCATCTGTTTTGCTTAGAGCATGGTTAATAATATAGCCAGCTGCTGGCTATATGATGTTGCCATGTCACATATAGTCAAGCTTATAGCCAACAAGTACAATAGCTAGATATAAATATGTACTGCTTTGTTGATACATGGCCCACCCCACTCTCTCACAAAGTACCTAGGAGCACGTGCTGCAGCCGGCTGTTAACTAGTAGCCCGCTTATCTTCTCTCTCTTCCAAGTAAGCAAGAATATAATATTTAATGTCTTACAGCCCGCCTACATCATTTTATTGTACTTGCTCTTAGAGATGTGTGATGTTACTTGTTACTCCCACCGTGGATATTCTAAGGAAACTAAAATTTACCCCATGGCATAAGCAACCTATGTCCAGTAGTCACCAAACAATGAACCCGCAGTAGAGTCGACGGTAAAATTAAAATTAAACCATGCTGTAAATGAGTAACTACTTATTACCTTGCCAGTAGATGCTCCGTACCCCGAGTAGTCATATCTGCAGTTATAAAATTAAAAAGTAAATCACGTCAGGCTTTTCTGCACAGCAAATCTCGTGTACCTCCAGACCACATTGAAATTGCAACAGAAGAAGAAAATAACTGGCATGGTTGTAACTGAGGATTCAAGATGAGCTAATCGGACTGATTATTATATGTGTACTATTTAGAGAATCGTGAGGCACTGCTTTCCTCCCTCTTAATAATAAATACTGTACTAGTTAGGTTGCAGATATCCCGTCCCGTGTTCCCGCAAAACATCTGCCCCAATAACCAAATCTACTTGATGTCGTACGTACCAGCATTTGTGATAGGAAATGCAGGACTGAAAAAACATGTCAGATAATAATTCCTACTAGTAGAAGAGAAGCAGAAAAAAGCAGTGTAGGTGTCCTCCTAGAGAAGAGAAGAGAAGAGAAGAGAAGAGAGGAGAAGCGAAAGCGAAAGCAAAAGCACAGCACAATGCACCACTAACCCCATCAGATTGACCTTGAGATTGACCTTGAGCTGCACAAAGAGATCGTAGAGCTGGGCGAGGTCGGCGGCGTTGCCGTGCGAGTAGAGCAGGGTGAGGCGCGCGCAGGGGTTCCTGAGGTAGAAGGCGACGACCTTGGTCCCCCTGGTGGTGTCGAGGAGCAGCACATCCAAGGCGTTGTCCCGCGGGACGCCGGAGGCGACGAGGCGGCCCGTGGCCTCGTCCTTGCGGAGGGCGTAGGTGGGCGGGTCCGGCGGGAAGAAGGCAAACCTCGCCGCGAGACTGGACACCGAGCACCCCGAAAGCATCGGTGGCAGCGCTCAGTCATCGACAAGCGGCGGTGCTGCTGCTCATCAGAGGGAACCTCTCCCCTCCTCCTGTTTCACCCCCCAAACGATCAAAAAAAAATCCCCAACTTGGGGGTGAACGGAAAGGATCAAAAAAACAAAATCCCCAACCTGGGGATTTCTTGGTGGAAAAACTAAAGAGGAACTAGGGGTGGGCGTGGATCTTCTTCCCCAAGAGAGTAGAAGCCAAATCGAGAAAAGATGAAGAAGAAATTGGCTCGCTGCTCCCCAGGGGAATCCCCCCAAGTCGGTCGTTTGGTGGGATGGGGTCGGAGGTTTTACGAGGGTTTAGTGCATTGTAGGTGGGTGGGAAATGGCGATCGAATGCGAGCAGCAAAGAGGGAGGAAGGGGAGAATGAGGAAGAAGAAGAGCAAGGGTGTGGGTGTGGGTGTGGACCAGGACCAGTAGGGAAGGGAGGGCTCCGCCTCAGGCCTCAGCCATTTATTACTCATGCTGCACAGAGCTGCACAGAGACAGAGGGAGGGAGGGAGGGAGGGAGGGAGGGTGGTGGACTGCTGTGCGGTGCGTGCGTGCGTGCGTGAGAAACAGAGCGAGAGCGTGCGCGTGTAGGAGGTGTAGGGGTGAGGACCAGGCAGGGCAAGCGAGGTGATGAAATGAAACTGGAACAGGACAGCGGAAAGCGCAGGCGATCCCCACACCTTTGCAAAAGATGTTCTTCCTTTCTTCACATGTTCTCCCAGCGGGGATGCGATTTTGTCACACCGCACGCACGCACGCACGCACACATGGACGCTTTGGATGGACGCAAATAAACGGCGCCCCGGAAGGATCACGCTGCCCGAGTTTCAAGGCTCAACCTTACTAGTAGGTTCTTTTTCTCTTTCCTTTCAGGTGGTGAAAATGCCGCTTTGCTAAATCCATGTGTGCTTTGCACATAGACCCATGTGCGAGTTTTCATTCTACTAGTACTCCATCTATCTTTACAATTTTATACCAAAGTTAATATAAAATTGAGAGTATATTTCTATCTCTACTACTCCATCCGTATATTTCCATCTCTATACTACTTAAGAGGATTTAAGGTTCCATGTTTCTCTTTTATTCTCCCCAACCTTCATTCAACCTTTCCCGTATGATAATCTATCGTCATATTTACTTATCTTTTGAACCAAATTCACTTTAATTTACTTATCCGTTTTTCATCAAAATATAAGGTAAATCACACGCAAGATTTGATAAACATTTATTTACACAATCGCATTAATACGCAAAGGTAGCTGACGTACTAAAGTACTTATTCCCGTTGCAACGCACGTGCATTGTCCTAGTAGAGAAAAAATGCCGCCGTCAGCGATACAAGGAAAGGGTCCCCCGGATCACCCGAGTTGGGTCATCCCCTTGTCCCCATGATGTACGCCAAAGCCCCGGACATTGGCCTCCTGCATCTCTCCACCGAGAGCAAATATAACAAGGTGATATAAGCGGACTATAAAAAAATATTATTGTTGAGTTGGAGGACCACGAAGAGAAGAGTGGAGAGGGGAGTCTTGTAGATTAACACTCAACTGCAACACATGCTTCTAGAAACTTTATGAGAGTGTAAGGTGGGCCATATTCATATATAATTATTAAAAAAAAAGTAGTATGCATTTATAGCTAACTATTATACGTGTTGGCTATAAGATTAACTATAGATAGCATTGCGATAACATATAGCCAATAGCCGGCTATACTACACTTTGTTACGAGGGCAGTGGCTGCTCGACGAGCCCTTCCCATCATTTGGTGGTGAATAGATGATGGGAGCATAGTGGTTGCCCCTCCCTAGGCTTCTCGGGGTGGCAAACATACTCCCTCCGTTTTTTTTACTTTGGATATAAAATTTGGTCAAAGTCAAACTACACAAAGTTTGACCAAATTCATATAAAAAATATGAACATCTACAATACTAAAACTATATTAGTATGAAAAATACATTTCATGGTGCACATGATAATATTGATTTCATATTGTGAATGTTGACATTTTTTAATATAAAGTTAGTCAAACTTTACAAAGCTTGACTTTGACCAAACTTTATGTGCAGACCAAAAAGAAACGGAGGAAGTACTTTGATCGGCTTACGCGACCACAATGGCATGTACCCAGAAGCACAATGATGACGAGGGCGACATGACCCCTCACACTGCCTCACACCACTAGACCTGCCACGAGCTGGTCGAGACAGTTCTGCCTGGGCCTGTTTGACTTGGTCCATTGCCAAGGATGGCATGCCCCTACCCACTCCATTCCGCTGACAATAGAGCCCGATGATGAGTGTTGTTTTTACGCTCATCAAACCATGATTTTAAACTGAGTTATTTCATAAAAACTGAGATATCCGCTACGATATTGCTACTAATGACTAATGAATGCAAAGGATTCCAAATATCCTATCTTTATTTTGTTTCCACGGGAAATGAGCTATTTATGGACAAGATCAAGCCAATACATGAAAAGGAGTAAAGAGGAGATATAGGAGATCAAGTGGGAGGTGCATCAGAAGAAACAGAGCGCAAGAGGGTGTTCCGTATGACCGCACAGGCTCGTATGGGCGGTCGTATGGACTGCCTACGGCGTCCCCTAATCCACGAGAACAAACTTTATAAAGGGTCCCACACCAGAAGAGCTGCAGGCAATCGTCGAGACCTCCATCTTCGTCATCCATAGCAACCCTAGCTACCGTCATTTTCCATCTCCATCTCCATAGTCACCACCATCTCCACCACCATAGCATTCATCCAACTAGTCTTACTTTGTAATCGTGTATCACATCCAACAACTATTGTAAGAAATATTATCAATCAATCATTCTTCATGATATGTTCTTCAATGATTTCTCCTTATGACCTGGTCTCCATGTGTGAGTAATTTGATAAGGTCATAGGTTGAGGCATAACCTTGCAACTCGATGTACTTGTTAAGGGATTGATGGAAGTGCTTTGAATTGATGTCCCGTGTGTGTAACATAAAATTGCTTCACAGTTGTCTCTTGTCTCATCCGTGTTCTTCATCCCTGCAGGTACCCAGGATCGTGGAGAGCGAGCCATGGAGAGGCTAAGGGTAGGGAGACCGTGAAGTGTTATTCTGAACACTAGTGACATAAAGGTTTAGTACGATAACACATATCATATCCTTGGGGATACAAGAGGTGTAGTCACTAAACGTCTAATGCTTTTGTTTGATTTTTGTCTTAATTATCGGGGCAACCACCGCATGACGGATAGGGCCTTATGGTTGGACAACTGACTTTTGATGAAGGACACGCTCTGGTCAAAACGTAATTTGGACACATCCCTCACTTCAGTACATTGCAAGCACATCTCAATGAATGGCTTTTAGTGCGCAAATTAATATCATGATGATCACCAGTGACATAAAGGTTTGGTAAGATAAAACATATCATATCCTTGGGGATAAAAGAGGTGTAGTCATTAAACGTCTAGCTTTTGTTTGATTTCTACCTCAATTATCGGGGCAACCCCCGCACGACGGATAGGGCCTTATGGTTGGACAACTGACTTTTGATGAAGGACGCGCTCCGGTCAAAACATAATTTGGACACATCCCTCACTTCAGTACATTGCAAGCACATCTCAATGAATGGCTTTTAGTGCGCAAATTAATATCATGATGATCATGTTCACAAATATACGGTTGTTAGAAAAGTCCTCATACCCATGCCGAATTTTATTATAAATGTTTTTAGTCTCAACTGGATTTTGATCTGGTCAAAAGCTAGAATTAATACTCTTGCGAAATCTTGGTAGAAACCTCTGACTTCAAGGGTGCCTTCGTCTCGTGGGTTCGATAACTCAGAGTTATCTCTAGGGAAAAGGCAAGAATCCTTTCTACTCCTTTACCGGCTCACTAAAGGGACTAATCAAACCTTTTTCTTGCGCCATTGTCGGGGAGGATTTTTGTGCCTAGTCTTTGTGTTAGAGTTTTTTATTTCAATTTTAGTTTAATTTTTGTTCTAAGTGTTGTCAGTAGAAAACCCAAAAAGATTACTATGGCTCGTAATCTTGGAAGCTTTGCTGGTCCTAGCAATAGTTTCATGCATGAACCAATTGCACAACCTAATGATGTTGCGCGGAGTATGAGATTAAAACCGAACCTAGCCTCTGTGGCTCAATAAGACCAATTTGGAGGCTCTTCTTATGAGGATGTCGGCGTGCATTTGCATAATTTTTATGAATTGTTTAACATGAGACTCATAAGTGATTATGACCCTGATGCTTTGAAGCCGTGTCTATTTTCATTCTCTTTGAGAGGGAAAGCTAAAGAATGGCTTCTAACTTTTCCTAGAGGTAGTATGGTTTCATGGACTGAATGTTGTAGTAAATTTTTACCTAAGTTTGTCCACCTGCAAATATCAATTGCATTAGTAGATAACAAGTTTTAAGCAGGAAGATCATGAGCCACTAGCGCTTGCATGGGATCGCATGAAGGAGGGTATAAGGAATTATCCTAATCATGGAATCGATGAAAGTTTAATTCTTAATATGTTTTATAATGTTTTAACTCCCATTTCAAAAACTATGCTCGACACTCTGCAGGAAGAACAATAATGGGAAATCCCATCACTGAAGCTAAAATGTTGCTAGATGATATGCTAGAGAACCATGCCCAATGGCATGTTGAGAGGTCAACCACCAAGAGAGTCAATGCCATTGAAGAGAAGAATAAGAAGTTGACCGCTAAACTTGATGAACTCATCTCTATGATGAAAGGTAAAGAAGAGGTAAACATAAGTTCTATTACTGAAGAAGATGTTAATGATGTCAATTTCATTGCTCGTGATAGCTATAATCCAAACTAGAAAATAATGTGTATGCTCCTAGATTTCCCTATCCTAATAATAGTGGAGCACCTAACAATTTTAATGGAACATTCAGTGGTAATGTAAATACTTTAGAGGAAACTCTGAATTTTTTATTGCTAGTCAAAGTGAGCAAAA